CTTTATATACAGTATACTGTATATATACAGTACATCATTTATATTTGTTATTGTATATAAGTTGAGATGAAATCATGAAATATCTGATCAAGATGTTTTCCTGTAGAAGGACAGGGAAGTCAAATACACAAACTTTACATTGAGTACATGAGAAGATCCAGAACTAGAAGGGAAAAAGCAGTTTCAGCTTAACATCAACATTTTAAAGCTAGTAGGCTTACTCAACTCTGAATATTAAAAATGGGTTAATTGTATGAAACTTAACTTGTGATTTGTGTCCTGTTGGATTGGCTTTGGGTTTATAACAGTAAAAATGTAACTATTATTATTATAGCCTATTTCTTTTTTTTTCTCTTGTAAGACTTAAAATCTTTCATAAAAATGAGAATAAATTATTTTTTCAAGTTTCTTTTTTACTTTAAAAACTCTTACTTTTGTTTCTCCTGAGTAGCCTAATCTGTAGTTGTAGAACTCATTGTGTTTCATAATTCTAGTGTTTCAGGACTAACTGGTGTGCATCATTTTTAGGCCTTTATTTGTTTTCCACTGTGTTTCTAGAAAGTCGCTGTGATGGCCTCAGCCTTTCTGTCTTGTGTGGCCTTCTGTCTGATTGGTCCAGTCTTGTCAGAGCTCACATTGCCACCGACTGAACCACCCCTGATCCGTGACCATCCGTTTGTAGCCATATGGAACGCTCCTACTGATGAATGTAGAGAGCTGGAAATCCCACTAGACACAGCTGCCTTCCAGGCTGTGACTACTCCTGCAGCTCTTCCAGGTCAGTTTCTCACCATCTTTTATGAAGACCGCCTTGGCCTTTACCCAAAAGCTGATGTCATCAAGCGCCGGGTCTACAAAGGCGGGGTTCCCCAAAATGGCAACCTGACGGAGCATTTAGTCAAGGCTCAACAACAAATAGATCACTACATCTCCCAAGATTCTTCTCCTGGGCTGGCTGTAATTGACTGGGAGTCCTGGCGTCCCCTGTGGGAGCTGAACTGGGGATCCAAACGCATTTATCAGAAGTTGTCCATAGGTCATGCTCTGCGAATGGCTCCGTTTTTGACGTCAAATCAAATTTCGAAACTGGCGAAGAGACAGTTTGAGCAAGCTGGGCGTCGCTTCATGGAGAAAACCATCAGCCTTGGCATCGGCAAGCGTCCGAGTCGTCGCTGGGGCTTCTACCTTTTTCCTGACTGCTACAACTATAAGTGGGACAAGGCCAACTACACAGGAAAGTGCTCCAGAAATACTGTGAAGCAGAACAACAAGATGATGTGGCTGTGGCAACGAAGCACTGCCCTGTTTCCATCCATCTACCTCCACAAGTCCCTGAGGAACTCCCCCCGAGCTGCACTCTACGTCCGCAATCGTGTTCAGGAGGCCCTGAGGGTGGCATCGCTGCCTAAACGCCCCTACACTGTACCTATCTACGTCTACTCCAGACCTCTCTACAGAGACCAGAATGAAAAGTTTCAAACCCAGGTGATATTTTGCTTATAACAATCAGTAATTACCAGGTATGTACCAGGATACACCCAATCTGTACCTGGTACTGTACTGGGCTATAATATGTATTAGTACTCTTGGTACTCTCTGGCTATGAGAGATAAAACATCTAGGATTTATTGTGACCAAAACCGGGGGGGAAATGACATTTATATTGACTGTTTTTAATATGTTTGTCTATTTGTTGTGTGGTTCTTGCTCTTTCAGACAGATCTTGTGAACACTGTTGGAGAATCTGCAGCTTTGGGAGCTTCTGGAGTTGTTATGTGGGGAGGAACTAAAGACTATAACAACAAGGTGACAAACATTAAAAAAAACTTTTTTACACAAAATTCGCATAGGATGTTCCCATGTCAGCATAACATGACAAAATGTGATAATGATGCTGATCTCACAGTCATCTGCATTTCTAAAGAAAAGGGATGCAAGGATGTAACTTTAGGTCTACAATTATGTGGGCG